ATTATTATTATTATTATTATTTCTGCAGTTTAGCGCCATCTGCTGTCAGAGAGTGAAAGTGCGCTTTCATCCAGAGCGTCTCTCACATGTTCCGCCATGTGCTTCTCGTCTGCGCTTGTTTACATCAGAGTGCGCACGCATCTTTCATGCAGCATACGGCGGTGTTGTGCATTTTGACCAGTTGATGGGAAAAGTATTCTTAAAATGCATTCAAATTTCTAAATAATTAGTAATATATAATTATTCACGTATTTAGAAGTGCCCACCATAACAATATCGTGCATATTCATTACCGTGATATATCGCATTACCGAATACCGGCACAAGTCTAGGACTCCTATGCCTTCCACAGAATATATAAATACAGATAAAGACATTTAGACCACTTAACTTAATGATTGCTATCAGGATGTGAAGAGACTTTCAACCAGCATAACAAAAAATGTTTCTGAAGACAATCACCTATTAATGTGATTTTATCAACCTAAACATTACAAAACATCTTGATTGTTTGTCATAGAAAGCAATGAGATAGAGAGAAAATCATCATATTCTTCCGCATTCATTGTATAGCTTTATTCTCCTCAATTCTCTCATTATTTTATTTCTCGCATGATATTGTGTGAGAAACATCAGACAAAATGATGCTTGAGTGAGTCATAACTGAGAACTGCATTATGTAATTGTGCTCATTACAACTCTGAACAACCGCTGAGCATTAAGTCTGTGCAAGTCATTTTTAAGGGTCAGATCGTGTCCACAACTGCACGTTCACACAGCAACTTTTGTCTCTCTTGTTGTTCTCAAAGCGATATTTTCCCATACTCGGCCAGTCGGAGAGCACAGCAGGGGTAAAGGTTTTGTAAAGGGAAATAATCAGCAACTTAATTGATTGTTTGTAATGTTTAATAACTACAGAGTAAGCACAGCGCACAAAGCAGACCCCAGGCAAGTTTCCTATGCACACTTACAAAGCCAGACAAAGGGTTTCCCAGAAAGCTTTGTACTTGGCTCTCGCTAGATTAAACAGATAACGCTTGTTGTCATTCAACTTTGACGACCAATTGAACTGTGCTGCTAGTGTTGTTTTGGTAGCTGCATGGGGGCATCAGACGTAATTATAATGGACCGCTACTTTACAGACGATTCAATATTTCATGTTTCCCGTATGAGTGAGAACAGAGAGTTTTCGACCTTTCCAAGGCGACTTACAACTGTGCAAGCGAAAGTGTTCATAATTGCTCCCAGAATTGATGCGGGTTTAGAGAGGGTCAGCTTCATAGTATAATAACAGCAAACAATTGCTCAGCATTGTGTCCCTCTGGCAAGGGACTTCAACAGTGCATGCCAATCGATTGTGCGAAAACTATTTGTGTAATCAATCATGAACAATTTATAAACATAAGCATCGAGAACCACTGGCAACCATAGCATGTTTAATGACTATCTACTGTAATTTAACAAAGTAAGTGTTCAGTTACATGGCTCGATGGAGTTTTGATTTGCTTTCCAGTTATTTTCGGCCTTAAACCCTCGGGTGGTGTTATTTTTCAGCACTTACACACACACACACACTCGCTCACTAAATCACACACAGATTGAAGCCGGCAGGATTTTGCGGAGTTCCTCAGAAACTCGTTTTTGTAGCCGTGGCTCATTGTTGTGCGGATGTAAATTGTTTTGACAGCAGGCGTGACTGATTCAGTGCTATCTCCTCTGATCCAGACACTAAATCATGAAACTACATGTATTGCGCTGATGGAAATACTTTAAGAAAATATAATTTCCAAAAGGCCCAGAGTTCAGACTTATTTCACATGACACAGTAACCCGCTAGACAGTAGCTACCAAACAGCTTGAGTAACAATCTACAGTAACAATAATTGGTCATTTCAAGATGATAATGTATGACATCATATATGTTGGTATGATGCTTATATCGATGGCACTTTATGTAAGCTGTACATGCCGTATGCTCAAAAAGTTGTTGTTAAGAAACTGCAGACTTAGGGGGTGTTTACAAAACACCATTTTCAACCAAAAAACTGAAAACGTTTTATGCATTTTGGCTGTTCATTTAAACGACAACGGCAAACATTTGAAAGCGAGTTTCAAAGTGCACATTTTTGTAAACAATACCATTACTGCCTTTGTGTAAACTACGAAAACGTGAATTTGTGAAAGCGGTGACGTCATGTGCGTGCGTATTATGTTTTCAGTCTAAAGGTATGTGTGCAGGCGCGTAGAGTTTCTTTACAAAGTGACATCGCCAACTACTGGCCTGGCATAACACGCGTACGACAGTTAACGGAAGTTATTCATGCATCATCTCCAGGATCTCTATGGAGTGAATTCGAGCCCGTCCACCTGAAGTATTTTTCCCATAAACTCAAAAAAAAAAAAAAAAGTTTTTAATGCAATCGTTGTTGTGTAAACGTACCCTCATTTACATTTTCAGATTTATAGGATATTCTGTCTGATTGCTTGGTAGTACTGGGTGGTTGCTTGGGATTACTAGATGGTTGCTAGGGTGTTTGTTCTGTGTGGTTGCCAGGGTATTTTGAGCAGTTGGATTGTTGCTAGGGTGTTTTTGGTTGGTTGTTAGGGACTTCTAGGTGGTTACTGGGGTATTCTAACCTGTAGCTAGGGTGTTCTGGGCAGTCGTTGACATCTTCAAAATAATAGCACACTTCTTCTCAAAAGGCAAATGTTTTGTGGTTGAATTCATGTCTAGTACAAGCGGTAAGGGATAGCCAAACAGCCAAAGTTTAATACGTAGGTCTAAAACCCCTGTAGGTTGCAAAACACCATTATCCATCCTATTGTAGTCCCAAGGTAGAGGCCCAAGGTCTCCATTTGGCTTTCATTCCTGTTCTATCTAGGAATTTCTCAGAAACATCTGTAGATGCTTTGAAAAAGTTTCTTTTTGACAAACTATTAGTAGAAGTTTTTAAAAATGCATTATACATTGCTTCCACTAGTCATTTGGAGAGTAAAGTCTTAGTCCTGGAGTCGAAGCAGAGGACAGAGCTGGAGGACATGAGGGATGAGAAGGAGCGGCTGCAGGACCTGGTGAAGAGACAGACAGCTGCCATTATGGCTCTGGAGAGACAGCTGAGAGCGGCCAGCAGCAACAACTCAGCCTTGCAGAGACAACATCAGCAGCTCATGAAGTCTGTACACACACTTATTGGCATGGTGTCTTCTGGGACAGGTAAGAATACACACCTTTAAACGAATAGTTCACCCACAAATGAAAATTTGCTCAAAATGTACTCACCCTCAGGCCATCCAAGATGTAGATGAGTTTGTTTCTTCATCAAAACAGATTTGGATAAATTTAACATTACATCACTTGCTCACCAGTGGATCCTCTGCAGTGAATGGGTGCCGTCAGAATGAAGGTCCAAACAGCTGAGAAAAACATCACAATAATCCACACGACTCCAGTCCGTCAATTAACATCTAGTGAAATGAAAAGCTGCATGTTTGCAAGAAACAAATCCATCATTTTAACTAGGCATTTTAACTTTAAACCGTTGCTTCTGGCCAGAATAGAGTCCATAATAACGCTTCTTCCAGTGAAAAAGTGTTTTGGATGTTTTTTGCTTGTAAACTGTGCTTGATCTGTGCATATTTCTCTCCTGATTTAGACAAGATGAGCAATATTATGGATACAGAATTTTAATTTGTTTCTTACAAATATGCGGCTTTTCACTTCACAAGACGTTAATTGATGGACTGGAGAGGACTTGTGGATTATTGTGATGTTTTTCTCAGCTGTTTGGACTCTCATTCTGACGGCACCCATTCACTGCAGATGATCCATTGGTGAGCAAGTGATGTAATGCTACATTTCTCCAAATCTGTTCTGATGAAGAAACAAACTTATACTACATCTGGATGACCTGAGGGTGAGTACGTTTTCAGCATATTTTAATTTTTGCATGGACTATTACATAAACAAATCTACAAGCTGTATTTCTTCTGTTTACATGTGATTATCATCATACATTGTGGAATATTAGCTCAGAATATTAGTCTACAACAACCTAGATTGTCTATCATGCCATAGAAGTGCATGATGTTTCACTTGAACTTATGTCATATTATGAAAGCAAAAATGCATTTCGAATGCCATTTCATGTTGATTTTAATGTTTCATCGCTGCAGCATTTCACTGTGAGGAAAGAAAAGTGACTCAACACCCGGTTAGAGTACAAAGTAAGGTTACTTGTCTGAGAATGACGGACACATCTGATTCTTGGGCTTACAACAGCTTTGAAATCTAGTGGCAGATTCTTAACATGACCTGAAAGTTCTGGTTAATTAACTGTGGCGCTAATGATAAATCGAGCTGTGATTCATGGAGAGAGAAGAGGATAAGCTCTTGCTAGTGATGGCTTTGGCAGCATGCTCTCGTGTCTTGGATGAAGTTCACATGCGTCACAAAACACACTGATAAGCTAAATCAAAACTGCAGCATTTTATACGGACAGAAGACATGTCAGTTTATAAATGTTTGTGTGGAGGTTCACTCCAAGAACCAAATGTACCAAATTTTCTAAATAAACTCTCTCGCAAATGCTTGACAAACAAACACATTGTGTTGAATGTTTAAATGACTCATCCCAAAACTAGACCACTACGGACTTTATATTTGAACAGTTGAGGCCATGTATTGATTATAAATCTAGTTCTTTTGACAACAGAAACCACATCGTTTTGTTTGTCACACTGTGTGGCAAATCCACAAAAAACTTGCATTATGAATCAGCGTTATTTTAGTATCATAGTTTTTATTAATGTTTTGAATTTGTTTTATCATTTTCTGTTTTTTATTTATTCTGTTTTATTTTTATTTGTACGATTTTATTATATTTTATTTCAGGCAAATTTCATTTTATGTCAAGTAAAAAATAAATAAATAAATAAAAGTTTGACTTTAGTTTTAGTTTAGTTTTTTTATGCTAATAATGTCAGTTAGATCTCAAACCAGTGTTATTTTAGTATCATTAAAATACTATTATAATATTTGTTAATATTTTGAATTAATATATTCTCATTTTAATTTTTTGTCACTTTTGGATTTAATTTTTATTCATTTTTATTTTAGTTTTAGTCATAAGTAAGCAACTAACTGAAAGAAGTAAGTTTTTATTATTTTCTTTGTTTCAGGTAATTTTTTACTTTATTTCAGTAACACTAAATAATATACAGAAGACTCACATACGAATACCAGACCTTGTCTAAAGTATTTTACGCTAACGGCTATGCCGCAACATTCTTTTGTTTGCTGATTATCTTTTTCAACTTGCGTTCAAATCAACTCTGAACCACAAAGCCTCTGTGTTTGTCCCTTACAGGTTTCTCATCAAATGAGCAGCACTTCAGAGACTGTGCCGAGGCCTATAAATCTGGTCACAACACCAGCGGAGTCTACCACATTTACATCAGAGACATGACCGAGCCAACCAAGGTGTGGGATGCATTCTTTCACAAGTATGAGGAATCAGTGTGATATATCTTGGCTGTGACGTACAGAATGAGGAACGGCACAAATGTAAGAGAGTGAGACTGAGATGTTTCATATCCTTCTGACAGGTCTTTTGTGATATGGTGACAAGCGGAGGTGGCTGGACGGTATTCCAGCGCAGAGCCAATGGAAATGTAAACTTCCAGAAAGGGTGGAAAGACTACAAACTGGTAAGTGGACATAAAGATTTAAAACATTTACAATTGACTGTGCAGAACCTTAGAAACCACCCTAAACCCCATAGCAACCATTCAGAGTACCACAGCAACCAGTCAAGCATTATATCAGTGTACAAAGAGAACTTGATACATTTGTAGACAATGATGAAAATCCCTATTGATTGTGTTTAAAGAAATTGGTGACATTTAAGAAATGCTTTTCTGCCTGTGCTGGGAAGACTTGATTAAAAATTATTCTGATGACATAGACTCAAAAAGCGGCCAAAACCGGACGAAGCACGGCGGCTAAAATTGTATGTGACAGATTGGCGTCATTGGCAGTAGCTGAGCTGTTTGGTACATTCTGTATTTAATAGCGGCAGATTCTAGTGCTTAAATATGCTGAAATGGATTGAAAGCTGGCAGTTCTTGAAACTGCAGCAGTGAAAATCAATACTGCAATTTTCTACATTTTGTTAATCTTGCCAAATGTTATTGTGAGCCTTCCTTTCTATAAAAAGCTTAAAAGGATGAGTCTCTTTTCTGGGAAACTAAAGACTGACAATGTACCTATTTATTTTAGAGAAACAAAACAGCTGTCTTGTGTCTAATGCTGTGTTTCATTCAAAGTTGGATATGCGATATTCCTGCTTGATATCTAATCATAAGGTGTTGTCCAGTAATAAGAAGATGAAGTATAAAAAGGCAAAATGGCAGCAGAGATGATCATTTCACTTCGACTCATTGATGCATTTTTGTTTGCATCAAGTGTTTATAATTAACTATATACAATCTTATGTTTGAAAATTTCCACTCGGGTTTCCTTCAAGTGCCGTTTTATAGCTGTCCCAAATAGGAAGTTTGAAATCCCGACTTTACAAGATGAATGGAATGCAGCATTGGTTTCATTATATGTTGTTCTCACAGGGATTTGGTGATCTTAGTGAAGAGCACTGGCTGGGTAATGAGGCTGTTCACCTGATCACCAGTCAAGCCCAGTACTCCCTCCGAGTGGAACTTAAGGATTGGGAGGAGAATGGCGCCTATGCTCTGTATGACAAATTCCAGCTCGCCGGTGAAAAACAACAGTACAGGTATCACCTGTGTTAACATAACAACCAAGATTGATATCAGTGCGAGATTTGATCATTTAATGAGGTTTGGCAACATTATCATAATCTTGCAATGTTTTTCTCTTTCTCCAGACTCTTGCTAGGGAGCTATAGCGGAACAGCAGGACAGCAAAGTAGCTTAGCATCAAACGGCACAGGCTTCAGCACTCGCGACGCTGACAACGACAAGTGTGTTTGCAAGTGCGCCCTCATGATGACTGGAGGTGAGCTACTGCACATGATCTCATTCAGAAACAAAATTGTCCAAATGTTGAAAAACACGCAGGTTTTCACTTCACAAGACGTTAATTGATGAACTGGAGTCATGTGGATTATTGTAATGTTTTTATCAGCTGTTTGGACTTTCATTCTGACGGCACCCATTCACTGCAGAGGATCCATTGGTGAGCAAGTGATGTCATGCTACATTTCTCCAAATCTGTTCTCAATGGTAGAGCATAAAAAGCATAGCTGTTTTTAATAATATTGTATAGTAACTGAGCAATTTGAGGTAATAATGGGCTAATGCTCTCCTGAAATGTTCATTTTTTTCTAATAAGATTCATTTTAGTAAAGACTGATTCTTTTTAGTGAGTTGGTTCGTTCAAACAGTTCATTTAAATTAAAAAATGTTTTGAAGTTTGATTCACCAATTCATTTGATTCCCCCTTTTTATGCCCTATAGCGCTTTATACAATATAGATTGTTTCAAAGCAGTTTCACAGTAATATAGTATAGTAAATAACAGAATCGCTGAAGAGAACTTCTTCAAATATGAGACTGTAAAGCAGCTCTGAGAAAGACAATAGTGTCATTCTTCAGCTCAAATCAGTTCAGTGTTGATTCAGTTCAGTTCAATGACTGTGTAAAGTTCATCAATTATCAAACAAAAGTTCATGTCAGTCATAAGCAGGTCTACAGAAGACAAGTGTCGTTATTTAGCTCGAGTCATTTCTGTGGTAATTCAGTTAATTCAATAACAGTATCAATGTCGCAAAATTCATCAATTATGAAACTAATTCATTTCAGCTGTAAAGCAGCTCTACAGAAGACAATAGCATCAGAAAATGTTGTTCTCACCTGATAGTATCAGTGCAATTTATTACAATAATTTTATCATTTTGATATAAAATTCTCCTCTTCACACAGATATTGAATGTCCGTCAGTGAAGTTGCTTTTTGCATCTTTGTCATTAATCCCATTGATGAAAACATCATCAGAACCCGAACAAAGACCTTGATCTTAGATTATAAACAGTCTTGTCACATCCATGATCATTTGACATAAAATACTTGTTATGTAAAGACTAATCTGATCGTAGATAGGCACTTATTAAACACAAGCCATCTACATTTATATTCTCTCAGTCACATTTCTTCACTTGTGGCCTGGATTTGAAGCCGAAACTGTCATGCAAAATCCCTCTGATCCTCTTCTAATCTAAGAAAACACAAGCCCATCGCAGAATTATGTAAAACACGTCCAGAGTTCAGATGCACGTTCAACGCCTGCTATGCAAACAATTTACTCTATGGCTGCACTCGACTGCAGATCCCACACCTCTGGGGTCCAAGATAAACAGCTTTTTAATAGCATGCATTGCGATTGATTTTGAAAGTTGTTGGGAGTTCATTACCGTCGAACCGGCTGGAGAACTTTAAGTGCCCTTTATGTTTGCATTTCAAATGGTAATAAAAAGATGGAAAGATGGATCCATCTGTGCGGCCTGTCCAAACTAAACACGCATTGCGGGAGGTGATACTGATTTAATCAGGGTTAGACAGACAGTGTCCTCTCTGAGGAGTGAAAGTCTGGTTTTTATTGAAGAATCACAGTTTGCTTTGACAGGTCTTGCTGAGACATCGACCGCACAGTGGGAATAACATACCCTTTGAAACACTGACGGACTATGGAGAGAAAAATAAAAAGACACAATATAGAGGAGAGAGGTGGATCAAGGGCTTTGATTGTTTTGAGGAGACGCAATTTTTAAGCCTGCCATCATTTGCTCACCCTCATGTCGTTCCAAAACCAGTACACAGCAAAAAATGCTTTTCACACACACACACACACACACAGGAACACCTGGTAGGAGGTGGAGAGAGATTGTGATTAGCAGTGAACATTCAGATCAGTAAATCCTGGAAGATCAAGAGCTTTTCAATATCCTCCCAAACTGTATTTAATTAAATATTGGATGTCCCTTTTCCATTAGCTCACACACAAATCACATTATTAGTTATTTGAGTTTTCTTTATCCTTCCATATTTTGCTGGAATGGATTTCTATAGCAGAAATGCACAATGGTTGTTTCAAATTGACAACTTTCATTAGTGATTTCAGTAGGCCTTTGCTGAATACCGCAGAGGGTGATATGAGCAGGCTTTTTTTGCCACATATATACTGTATACACACACAAAGTCAGCACTGGGGTAAAGTTACTGCTCAAATGAGCACAGAAGACACACGGGCAAAAAATGCTTTTCTTACTTAGATTTTTTGTCTTGTTTCCAGCCAAAATATCTAAATTATATATTTATATCAAGAAGGATTTTCTAGACAAGTAAAAATTGTTGTCTTGCTTTCAGAAAAAACATGTCAAAATTAAGTGAGTTTCTTGAGAAATTTCAAGAGAAATTTCTTGTTTTCTGTTTGAAATAAGATTATTTTGCTTACCCCATTGGCAGATTATTTTGCTTGTTCTAAGCAAAAACTCACTTAATTTTGACTTGTTTTTTCTGAAAACAAGACAATAATTGCTACTTGTCTAGAAAATCCTTCTTGATTGAAAATTTTTTTGATATTTTGGCTGAAAGCAAGACAAAAAACTAAAAGTAAGAAAAGCATTTTTTGCAGTGTATGACTTTGTAAAGATAAACAAAAATCGTTATTTTGTGGAATGCTAAATAATTATTTTGTGTAATCTTCAGGTTTTTTTCATTTAGTAAAAGCGTGTTGTTATTAGAGACTATCAAGTTCTAAAAAGGACAAAAAGCAGCATTAAAGTACTATAAAAGTAGTCCATACAAATCAAGCACTATATTTCTAAGTTTTGTGAAGCAATATGATTTATGAGAAAAATAACAAATTTATTTTTAATTTTACTATTTAGGTTTAATTTATTTTTATTTTAGTTTCAGTTCAGTTTTAGTTTTTATTTCTTTCCGGTTAGTAATTTTAGTTCAACTTAAACTGATTTCAGTTAGTTGCCAAGGCAAAATGTATAACTTTCATATCATTTAATGTTTTATTTTATTTTAATAGTTTTGATTTTAGTTTAGTAATACTGATCAAGGCCCAAATTAAACACCTGTGAGCGCTATACTGTTTATAAAACTGTATTCATCTCAGACTCTTTACATTTGTCATTCTTTCAGGCTGGTGGTTTGATGCTTGCGGTCTGTCCAACCTCAATGGAATCTACTACACCGTGGGTCACAATATCCGCAAGCTCAATGGCATTAAGTGGCATCACTTCAACATTTAAAGGAAAATGCTACAAAAACGGCTTGATCTGAAAAGAGCTGTTTTTGACAGGGTAAAAAAGGTGTTTTTTACACTACCACTGAGAAATTGTAACCAAACTATGTTACAGACTTTTCATTAAGACCCTAAAGAATCATATCAACTTGTGGAAAATGGGCATCCTATGACCCATTTAAAGCAACTTGAAAGCAATGTGTTGCATTTGCCCACTTGCATAAAGTGTGTTTCTGGACTTATAATTGTTGTACCCGTGTGATTTGTATGTTTTGTATGCAAGAGAAATACTATATTTTGTTTACTAATGTTTTTAAATGTGTTCTGTGTGACCTGTTGTTCCCATTTCAAGACTATACAGGATGTAATTTTTTAGGAGGATGCACTTTAAGGAGCACAGTATGATGGTCGTGTGGTTAGACAGCAGATACGCTGATAGGAGCTGACTGTTCCTACAATTGTACAGTATATGAACAATATATTAGTTGCTGCTGTGGTATATACACATTAATACTTTATGACCATAAACCTTTCAACATGCATTATTACTTTCTGACCATAACCCTTTCATCACATATCTTTACAGTTTGATAATAAACCCTGCAGATCAGTTCTGGAGTCAAACTGGATAACAGCTTTTCAACAGGTTGAGGTTTATTTTACTATTGTGAACTAAAAGTTGAAGATGCCAAAGGCTTTCCTGTCTTTTTGTGGTTCAAGCTTCCTAGTTCATACAGTGTTTTTATTTAACTGAATTCCAGCTTTCTGCCAAGAACAGCAGGAGCATATGGAAGACATTCCCTCTTGTTTACTCTTTATTCACTTTGTAAAAATGTCAATTTGTCATGTCAGATATTCCTTTTTGTTTTTTGTTTTTTAAGAGGTCTACATAAGCAATAAAGTGCTTCTTATATAGATATTTGGTGCAGTTTTGGTCACTGTGTCTTAATTGGTTTTACTGCAACATATTTCACTGAAGTCAAACTGTTAACATACATTATATTTATAGTATATTTATTTGATTAAATTATAACGATTGATCTTTAATAATCAAACTGCATATAAGTCTAATGCTAACAGGGAATATTCTCATAACTTTGGCTAACTTTCTGGCAAGGTTCTCTCAACGTTATGAATAAACATTCTTCCAGCAGCCTAATGTTAATAGAACATTCATTCAAAGTTATCTGTTCTTTAATAATATTCTCAAAAAACGTTCGCACAAGCCATTCATGAAACATTTTATTGCTGAAACATTTTAATTTGACATTCGTCGAACATTTTTTAAATGTTACTTGTTTGAGAATGTTCAGAGAACATTCAAATGTAACGTTTCCATAATGTTTGAAAAATGATCAAATGGAATGTTACCTTAACATTCGCATAACCAAGAAAAAAAAAAAAACATTTTTAAAATATTTTAAAAACCTGGACGTTTTCAGAGAACATTCAGAGAAAACATTTTCATAATTTAATGTTTCGTAACGTTCTCGTATTTTTGTTAGATGAGTATCTTGCGAGCTGAGGGAAAAATATAGGCCGTTTCACACTGTAAAAAGCCTCCAAAAACAATTGGACACCGTATTACCCAGATAGCACACTTAGGCTACGTTTAGATGTCTGTTAAAGATTGATGGAAAGCATCTGCTGTGTACAAACATCTGATAGACGTCTCTAAGATGTTTTACATACATTCTAAATCATAAACATAAATGTCTATTTGACTTCTGATAGGAAACGTCCTATGCAGTGCAGAAAAACGCTTAACGTGAAAAACGCTTAACGTGAAAAACGCGTAACGTGGCTTAACGTACGTAAACAACGACCAGGGAAACCCACATTTTTGTCAAACCGTACTTGTAATAAACACTAACTACTGTCAAAAGAACGAGCCCTTACTCCACAGATAAAGTGAATAATATCACGTTAAGCGTTTTAGAATGTCCCAAGATGAGCAAGCACTCTAAAACATACATCTTTGCAGATGTAAATGCAGATCTCAAATCTCCGTGATGTACGTGTGCTATCAGGGTATAGTATCATGAAATGTTAGCGATTTATGTATGGTGCTTGTTAGTTTGTCATAATATAAGGCCTTTTCTAAATAGCAATTGATGGAGAAAGATGCTTTTTCGAACCGAATGGTGTAATTACAACATCTGCCAGCAGGGACAAACTGAGCCATGCATGCTTAACAATGTGTTCTGTGGTGATGTAATGGAAAACAAAACGCACACAAATAAAGCAATCTTTTGGTTTGTTTGTTTGTTTGTTAACCTGTGCACACGACGTGTGAGAAGCTTGAGACAAATCTAAATAGATGTTCCCCAAAATGACCTAAAAGTATGATTTGCATGCAAACACAAAGCCTATCAAAATTATCTTTCAGTTTCAATAAGAAACACTGCAGTGTAGTACTAACACGAAGATTGGAAATGTTAGACTTTAGTTAACCTTGCAAACATCATTCAAACACGTACGGTAGCAAAACTGGCTGTTGTTTTCATGAGAAGTTATTCTCTAGCTCCATCTGCTGACCAGCCCTGTCCCGTTAAAGTATGTAGGCTACAGCATTTAGCACCTCAAGAACTAGGCTACTGCATGACCACTATAATGGATTATTCTAAATGTAATTAAATATTTAATTATATCAGTTTCAACCGTTTTTTCAGGTCTGGTTGAAGAGTTCTGTAGGTTGCACATTCAGAGCAGTGCTTTAGCTGTGTGAAATGAAACTGGCTGTGTTCAAAACCCTCTTTGCTCTTTTATATCATTCACTCTCTCTTCTTTCTTTTTCTCTATACTTCTCGCCCTCCCTTCCTCCTCAGACCTCGATTCCGGGGTTTTTTGTTTGTTTTATTGGCTCTGCCCCTCCTGCTCTTGTTCTCTGGAGAAGCTAGAGGGAAATCTAGGTTATGATGTCTAAACAACAGAAACTTCTCTTAGGTTATTGCAGACGGTCACAGTTCATTTGTACTAAACTTATATTTATCTTTAAAATTCATATATTTAACAAGATACCAAAGTCCAAGATATATGAAACAATATTCCATGATGTTTAGATGGTCAGTTTTCACCAGTAGGGGGCAGATGGTGACGGTGGTTTATTAGTAAAGGTGAAATGACCAAAGATTATCAGGGTCACACTGGTGTTATGAGGTAGGCCTATGTTTTCATTTGCCCATCATATGTCGTAATAAACTATATAAAAGATGCATAAACATGCAAATATTAAAGATGGATATCATATTAGTTAGGTTTTTAATCACAATTAAAGGCACAATATGTAATTTTCGCCGCTAGATGGCGCGTATTCAAAATAAACAAAGAAGCAAAGGCTAGTTTGCCATGACTGAGTGTGGAATCATGGGAATTGTAGTCTTCATCCTCACAGCCAATGCAATCCGACGGTACTCGGGCAGAAATCATGTTCATGGATGAGCTAATGATTTATTAAGGTAGTAGAATGAAGCAGTGTGAGGCTGAAAGCCGTCGAAGCAAAACGAGGCCGCAGGATGAGCGTGACACACGGTTCGAAAGCAGCGGAGCTTTTATTATGCCACAGTCGACCGCTTCCGCTCCTTCCGGTCGTGAGTGTGGGGGGGGGGAAAGCAGCACTGTTTTATCACACGGTCCAGTGTCACTAGTTAAAATTGCTTATTTCTCTGGATTTAAACATTCTTCGAAACATTTAGGATAATGTAAGTACACAAGTCAGCAAAATATATAACACTGTTCTAGTGGTTTTTGGATATTTTAATAAAAAAATCTAACGTATTGTGCCTTTAAGTGAGAGGCGAACTTTAAATAATTTTGAGCGGATATTGAGCAGATATTGTCATTTTTGTTATATCCCTAAAGGCTGAACTACTAAGATGAAAAGCTGGCAGTTTATTAAGAAATATTCCATTATTTACAATATAACAGGTTTGTTCATTTGTTTCTGATTGGTTCAAGCATGTTTCAAAAACATATACAGTAGTTTTAATTGCAAATTTTTTCCCCCTGATGGTCTTTTGAAATATCCCTTTAAATAGTAAAAGCTATTTCCCAATGGCATCATCTTCCAGGAAGTGACATCATTTTGGAGGGAAAACAACAGTGCAAACATTAGTGAGTATTAGCGATTGATTTGATGAGTTCTGTGATGTTTTGTGTTGTTAGTTATTTTGTTTCACTCTATTACATCCCATGTTGTTTGATAAAATTACAGAAATCATGTTGATAGTTTCAAAATGAATTTAAATTTTGTCTTGCTATTGTGTCTGTGTAATTAATAAAGCTTAACCAGAATGTACAATAATTTGCAGTATAGCACTTACAATGGACTTCAATGTAGCATACTGTAACATTATGATGGGTTTGTGCAGCTCAAATATGTATCTAAAGTGTCTATATTAATTCTTCCATTCAAAATTGTGTTATTTGAGCTGTAAACCAAGTTTACATGGTTATAATGGGGTTTGAAATATTTGCATGTAACTTTGCACAGACAAGGTTAATAGTGATTTTTACCCTTTAGTCCTGTGTTAGGCCTACATATGGTTTGTGACTACACTTTTGATATGGCGTGTATACAGCAACATGTATCCTGGTTCAATATCTTTTTCCATAAACTTCCATTTTAAGTGCAATACTGTAAATGTGGATCTTGCTTGTTTGTTTACATACTGAGAAGCGAGTCAAATGATTTTCTGCCGTCAATAGAGCTTAACTGGTATAGACTGGGGAACATTTCTTTAACCTTAATTTAGTCAGGTAGCAACTAGTAAATGAATGTAAACACAATTCACCCTGGGCACCTTGTCACTGATGTGCCATATGCAATTAACATGGAAAACTGTCTGCAATGTTGGCATGCTAAACACTTTTCCAAAACAGTGGTTGGTAATGCAGCTGTCCCATCCCATCATTCTTAACGCAGGGGGTCTGTATGCACTCAGCTTTAACTATTCTAGATTGATCGTAAACATTCTAGCTCAGGGGAGCCTAAGGATACCGAGACTA